ACCCCTGCACAAATCAGGGGGCGGGGCTCAGGAAAACAGCCAGGGCTTTGTGCAAACCACTACATCCCCATCCCGTGGGAAAACCCAAAACCACTGCCGTCGTCCAGTGGATTCCAACGCCTAGCGACCCTGTCGGGCAGACCCTGCCTCTGAGTCTGTCGTTTTTTACAGGAGCCGACAGCCTCGCCTTTCTCCCGCAAAGGGGGTGGTGGATTTGAACCACCGGCCTTTAGAGTCCAACGCTTAACCCCGTGTGCCCGGGAGCCTTTTACCCCGCAGTGAATCAAGGAAGTCAGGCCGGGGGAGGGAGTGACATGAGGCAGCAGAGCTAGAAACAAGGCCGGCATCCAGGGGAGAGGATGGAAGGAAGTTAAAGCTATTCGCTTCCCTCCTTCCCTCCACGATGCCTCTCACCCTGGTGGGCGGGCTCTGAGGGACCTTTCCCTGGGGGTCTCCTGCTCTTGTCCTCCGCTGAGACCCCCGCTGGGACGTCCTCTTCCTCCTCCTCCATCAGCAGCTCCTCCTCTTCCCCTTCACTGGCTGGGCTCTGCCAAGGTGCAGGAAAGAGCAGAGGGACCCTCAGCTGGTGCCCCCCACCTTCTCCAGGATGTGAGCCCCAAACCCTTGCAGTTTCCCCACGCATGGCCACTACAGGGAGAGAGTGAGCAGAGGTCAGCGTAGGCGACATTCAAGCCTGAGTGCTTTCCGGAGCGGGTTCACAGGCTCGAATCCTGTATATGCCTTTTAGTGTGACCCTCAGGCATAAGGCCTATGGTCCAGGGCTCCCAGCCCACATGGGTGGCAACAGGGTGAAAGGGGAAAATGTGCCAAGCACTTAGCAAATGTTTGGGGCCCACTCTTAAAGCAAGCAAGAGAGCTGCGCATGGATTATGTTGTTCAATACCCTGATCAGACACCCAGAAGGTTGCCCCAGAGAATATAGGTCCTTCAGGATCTGGTCCCTCGCCCCTCTCCAACCCCATCAGTCACCCAGGGCACCTGAATCCCTAAGCAGGATTCTCTAAGCAACAAGAGCTGCTTTCTACCTATGTGGCTTTGTATAGGCCGCTCCCTCTCTCTGGAAAAGTCTCCCTTCATCTGGCTCTGACAAAACTCCTACTCATCCATCAAAACCCCAGCTCCAATGCCCCATCCCTCGGGTTAAGGCCAGTCAGGAGGGGCTGCCTGTGGCAGATGGCTCCAGCACACACCTCATCAGTGGCAGCTGCAGACATGTGGAGCTGGTGGCGCCGGAGCCAGGTCGCTTTGTACTTGTCCAGTTTTTGGCCCATGTACTTGACGGAGGCCCAGCCGCAGCCTGACTTCTTGGCAGGATTCACCAGCTTCTTGCAGTGGGTGGCCCAGGCACTGGGCGAGTTGAACACCTGCCCCGTCTCCTGCCAGACAATCCTCCCATCTGGCTGCAGGTCCCCCACGAACTTCTTCCCCTGTGGTGACAGCAGCAGGCTAGCTAAGCCCCTCCTCCAGGAAGCCCTCGCTTACCCCTAGGCTGCTCCGCAGGCTTGGCACAAACTCTCCACTCCAGCGTGCCCCCTCCCAGGTAGTCTCCAAGGGCTCTCCAGCCCAGCTGGGGCACCACCGTGCTGCCTGCGTGATCACCCACCGGGATGTCCTGCCGCATCCTAAGGGGGGGACTGAGTCTTAATCATAGCTGTGTTCTTAGTCCTTCCTTCCTGCATACACCCAGCCTGGCGCACAGCAGGTGCTCAGACCCCAAACTGCTCATGTTCACCCTCCCAACAAGAACAAGCACCCGAGGCAGGAGCCATTGGCCGTCGAATGGCGAGCTGGCGCCCCCATGTGTCTCAGAGTAGAACTGTGCATGTCTCGGTGCTCTCAGTAGTTGGTGGAAGTAGATCGCCAGGCCTTTCTTCCAAGGCACCTCTGGGAGAAAGAACAGGAATTCCCCCACCTTTCGGTTAGCAGACAAGCTAGGAACAACAGTGCAAAGCCACTGGGAGGTTTGATAAGTGGCTGAATGCAAAAGTGGCGGCTATTGCATGGTCAAAAGCTTTTTGATAAAAGAAAAACATAGAAAAGGGGTACCGATTAAAAGGCTCTACATATAACCTCCTCCCTGGGGGACAACAGAAAAGTGGGTGAAGGGAGACGTCGGACAGTATAAGACATGACAAAATAATAATAATTTATAAATTATCCAGGGTTCATGAGGGAGGGGGGAGCAGAGAGGGAGGGGAAAATGAGCTGATGATACCAAGGGCTCTAGTAGAAAGCACATATTTTGAGAATGATGAAGGCAACAAATGGACAAATGTGCTTGACACACCACAGATGGATGGATGGATTGTGATAAGAGTTGTACGAGCCCCCAATAAAATGATTTTTTAAAAAATGAATGACCAAAAAAAGAAAAAAAGAACAATAGCGTTCTCCCTAGACAATGGTCCTCAGCTTTCAGCCAAACCACAGACAGGTGCATACAAACAAAAAACCCAAGCTCACTACACGGAGTGGTGGCCCCAGAGGACAGGGTAGAACTGCCCCTGCGAGTCTTCTGGGACCCGTAACTGTTTAGGGGAGTAGGAAGCTTAGTCTTTTCCTCCCTTGTGGGGGCTGGAAGTTTCGAACTGGGGACCTTGCAGATTGCAGCCCAACGCTACCAGGGGTCCTCAGGCCTTAAGGTAAACAATAACATCATGGAGGTGAAGTCCTTAAAGGAAAGCTCGGAGATAATAGGACCAAGGGAAATGGGAGGGACGGAGAGGAGGTGGGCAGAGGGC